ACAATTGATCACAGATGTAAAAATAATTCAATTCATATTTCGAATATTCACCATTGGAATTGATTCATATTTTTCCTTAATTTTAGTTAATTAGAAACCAGCATTCTAATTAACCATAATTATTAAATAACATCAAATCAGCTCTCAAGATTCAATTTAATAACAGCATTACACAATATAGCAATCATGAACTAGATAACACAAATACAAGCGGTTACATTCAATCTATTTAAACATTCTTCTTAAAATTTAATAACCTCTATAGCAGAAAATTATCAGATCCTAGTGTTTCACAATTTAAAGGGATCAAACAATTACGAATTTGATATTTAACTTAGCGGTAGATTGTAACGAACAACAAATTAATATGCCTCCTAGAAATTACACATAACAATCATGAAAATAAGTGCAGAAGAATATTAAATACGCAAAATAAGAATTAAACAATAAGAAAAACTATTTAGATCTCACAATATGTAATTCCGAGACTTCCGTTTCCTTCGACCAAGTGTAAAAGTTTGTTACAATTCATGAATCTAAGAGAGAAATAATGAAAAATGGAGTTTGGAGGCGTTCTCTCTTAGTTTTGGACGAGTTTAGGGTTAAATAGGTCATCCAAATACCATACCATAAGATATTGGTTCGAATAAGGAAACCAGAAAATTCGCGCTAGAATGAACCATGCGACTGCATAGTATAAACCCATGCAACAACATGGTTATAAAAATTTTACACTGTTCATCTCTTGTTGGTACTTGTGCGATTGCATGAACTTTCTACTATGCAGTCTGCATGGTAGAAATTATTTTTCATTTGGTTCACTTTGGTTTACAAACTTTATTTCATTTACTCTTTGGCCTTGCTTCCTTCTCATTCTTCTTCTAACATTCCATGATATCACAATGTGTTACTTAGCTCAATTTCATGCTTGATTCATCATTCGGGTCATCTTCTGAATAATTGTATTTTGGTCCCCGAAGTTTCGTTTTCTTTCCTTTTGGTCATTGTTCGCTCATTACTTCTAAATTACGTCATATCCATATAATTGCCACCTAAATCAAAACATAAACATAATGAGTACATTTT